TATAAAAGAAATCCGTAAGACTTGAAATGGAAAACTTCAATCTCAAAGTGGAGGGCAAAGTTCATATTGAATCAAGGAGGGGGTAACAACATAATAAATTGTTCTCTTATTACATTCTAAGTGTAGAATTCAATCTCCTTGGTAACTCTATCCCAACACTTGTAGAATTTAAAGATTAACTGATTATAAAGATAATCATTTATAGCAAACAATATCCTATCACTTTAGCACAGTAATGGGTTAAATCCTATTACAAGTAAAAGAAGTTAACCTGTTACTGCACTAAGGTGATTTTATGTTCAACTTAGTACCCTATTACACTATACTATTTGTTATAAATGTTATTTTTTGTGTGTACTTTAACACATCCCTGGGGCGAAAATTGGGCATTATATATTAAACATAATGTGACAGATGATTGTATATATGTGTATCATGTACATGTATAAAAAGAAATAAAACTCAATTCAATGATTTACAGGTACACTTGTCTATACAGGACAGATGTCTGATACCTGATCTGGTCCTGCATGGCAGGTGGCACAACTGATAAAATTGGAAAGACAAAATGTTAAGTCTTATAATAAGTACAGTGTAACTTTGGTATAGTAATTTCTTCATAACTTCCAAAATTTAATGAGATTTAAAGATATACTTTGCCCATCTTTAGGTAAAAATAAATTGTAATTAAACTGTAGAAATTTATTTTTATCTAATTTTTTTTTACTGAATATGTTTAATTTGAATAAAAGAATGAACAAATAATACAATGCTCATATCTAGGTAAACATACTTGTATTGCAGAAATTTACTGAAATCTAGGAAAATTTTACTGAATATGTTTAATTTGAATAAAAACAAGAGCCACGTCAACATGACCATCCCCAGCCGAATGGGTTTGCTCATTGGAAGAATGTATATGTAGTAGAGCAGAATAATTCCATTTTAAGAGGTCTTTTGGTAATGTAAACTGATAGCTGAAGTGATTACAGATTTGAAACCTATGTGAATACTGATGGCTGAAAATAACAAAGGGCAATAACTGAAAAATAATGCTGGGTAGGTTATCATTCTTGTGTGCTGCATCCCTTCTCAGTAAAATCTATCCACCTATGAAGTTTCAAGTTGATACCTCAAATACTTTTTGAGATAAGCTCCGGACAAAATAGTATGAAAAAGAACAAAGGGCAATAACTCAAAAATTATATAGGGAAGAGTTATCATTCTTGTGCACAGCATTCCTTCTGAATAAGATCTATCCACCTATGACATTTCATGTTGACATCTCAAACACTTTTGAGTTATGCTCCACTCAGGTGAAAGATTAAGTATGAAAAATAACAAAGGGCAATAACTAAAAAATTATAAAAGGTAGAGTTATCATTCTTATGCACTGCACACCTCCTGAGTTAGATCTATGCACCTATGAAGTATCATGTTGATATCTCAAAGGCCTTTTGAGTTATGCTCTGGACAAAAATTAATTTTGAAAAATAACAAAGGGCAATAACTAAACAATTATGCAGGGTAGAGTTATCATTCTTGTGCACTGCACTCCTTCTCAATGAGATCCATCCAGCTATGAAGTTTCAAGTTGATACCTCAAATACTTTTTGAGATAAGCTCCGGATAAAATAGTATGAAAAAGAACAAAGGGCAATAACTCAAAAATTGTATAGGGAAGAGTTATCATTCTTGTGCACAGCATTCCTCCTCAATAAGATCTATCCACCTATGACATTTCATGTTGACATCTCAAACACTTTTGAGTTATGCTCCACTGAGGTGAAAAATTAGGTATGAAAAATAACAAAGGGCAAAAACTCAAAAATTATGAAAGGTAGAGTTATCATTCAAGGTAGAGTTATCATTCTTGTGCACTGCACTCCTCCTCAATGAGGTCTATCCACCTATGAAGTTTCAAGTTGATAACTCAAATACTTTTTGAGATATGCTCCGGACAAAAATTTCGGATGGAAGGTCGGACGGACGGTAGGTCGGACGGAGACTATTACTATATCCCCCACCGCCTTTTCGGCGGGGGATAAAAATAACGAACTATGTGTGGTGTTTCTTTTAACTATATATCACTATAAAAAAATCATAAATAATTATCTCTTGCATACAATCACCAGTCTCAGACATTGCCAACAATTAAATCCCTCTTTATCAAGGAGTTTGCTGTTTAGTTTATGAATCATATATCAACCTTCTTTTTTCATAACAATATATTATTTACAAATCTAAGTGTTATGAAAAAAGAAGGTTTGATATGTAATTCAAATGTCAGTCATCAAGGTTATAACATAAAGAATTCCCACTTCAGTAAAATAGCCATCACAAATATGATCCTTCATAAAAGGTTAAAGATATACTTATAATGCTCATCTGTGAGTAAATTTTTTTAATCACAAACATATTAAAATCCATGAAATTCTTACTGAATGTCTAATTTGAACATAAGAATGTACAAGATATGCATGGTAAGTTGCATTGACTATTACAGGTCAAGTAAAGTTGGTCCTTTGTTTTAAAAAGACTGCCAGTTATTTTTTTAAATGATATTATTTATTCATATTGTGTCCACCTATAGTGTGTAGAGTTGAAAACGCAACATAACTACATAACGTGAAGTAAAAACATGTTTATTTTATACATACAAAGAGGCTGTGTAGCAATTAACAATACTATCAATTTTGAGCATAGTATTATCTTCAAACAATATAACACCCAATTTTCATAAGTTCATACGAAATATTAATAATGGCCACATTTAATTTGATCAGAAGATGAAACCGTCTCCGCTACACAAGATTTTACTGTACTTATATATTGCTTGCTTTTTTATAACCACAAGGACACTGTCTGAAATATATGCTATACATGTATAACCATAGAGATAGGTGCCAGATGTTTTCTATATGCATTCAAACCAGCATAAGCACTTGCAGTGGATTTTCACACTTAATTTGGAAGAGGCCTTAGCCTCTTGATTTTGAGGGGGGAAAATATCATTACAATTGCTAATTTGGTCAGTAAAAAACTGATGTAAATTCAGATTTTTGGGAAAATTGGATGATTTTAAATACAATTTCATCTGGGAAGAGGCCTCTCTATTATATTAGGAGAAAAATCATTAAACAGCAATATTTTAGGTAGAACAACAGTCCTTCAGCAAATTCTTTGAAAAACTTACTATACATACATAAAGAATTACCAGATTCCTACATGTTTATATAACATAACAACAGCAAATATACATGAGATATCAAATGAAATCAATATGATACTAGAAAATGAAATATCATTTTCTTTAAATGTCATCAATTCAGATGTCCATAGAGACAGTAACTTGATAATACAATTATCATGTTTTTATAAGAAATGTTGTTGATGTTGATTTACAACTTTCAGATATGATAAGTGAAATCAAATACTATTAGTGTTCTTGTACATCAAGCTATTTTGTAATTCTAAACACAGGAAATGGGAGAAGTCTGATATTATACTTTAAAATTAAAGTTTTATTTAATCTTTGAGCTGAAACACTGCATGAATTCAATATCAAAATACAACAAGAAGGTCACATTTATTATGGACCTGAATCACTCACCTCAGATATATTGCTATAAAAGGTCACAATTTTTCATTTTATTTTTAACTCAAGTTTCATAGTTTATAAGATATTTGTAGATGTCTGCCAGGAAATCTTTAAATAATAAATACCAAATATTTAAGTTCTTTGCAAGAAGACATAAAATTTAATGTACTTCTATATAGTCTGTAAAACCTTAGTGACTCACTGAGTGGGGCCAACTGTAAGCATGACATATGTAACTTTGTAGAGAACAACAATGTCAACAAAGTGATGCTACATGCCAAATATCATAAATAACTTGGCATTGTAGTTTCATGTACTAGGCAAAACAAGGCTTTATACACAAAACGACCATGGTGCAGAGCCAATTTTGACCTCAGGGACATGATTTATATTTTATATAACTTTCGTACAGGACCTAATATTAAGGAAATTCAACATGCCATATATCTAAGCTTTGGGCAGTGTTGTTTTTAAAAAAAATTCTCTATACAAAGCATCTTCAGACAGTTTTACTGTACAGGTCTTTGTACATTAAGCCCCAAGAGTTGGCCCAATTTCAAATCCAGGGGGGAGGGGGGGGGGCATGATTTAGAATTTAGATACCTTTTTAAGAGGTCTAAGAGTCAATGCTACATACCAAAAAACAAAACTCTGGGCATTACAATTCCACAAAAGAAGTCTCAAAACAGCATGCCTCAAGATTCATAATTATTTTTATGAAAATTTTGAAAATGTATTTAAAAGTCAAAGTTGTGAACAAAGGAAGTAAATTAACACGTTATAAAAAGCCCTAACAATCCCAAACTTTACCAAAGAGGACAAAACATGCAAAAATAGCCCTTACTGCATAAATCATGCAGTATAAATATGCAATAATACAATTACAGCTTTTTCCCCTAATTCTAAGGACAGTCCATACTCATAATACATATTAATCCCATTTAGTCATGGATTTAACCAAACCTAAGTAATCAATGTATCTCTTTAAATAATAATATATAAGAAATAGGTTTTATCTTCTTCAATTGTCTGTTTACAAGCAAGAAACAGTTCTGCAAGCAGAAAACAGTTCTGCAAGCAGAAAACAGTTCTATGCAATCTGGTTAAATCCTATCAATTTGAAACTGCTACCTTGCAAACAGAGCTGTATGAACATTTTTTGCACTAAAGGGCCACAACTCTTTGATGCATAATCGTACTTGAGCTTTTTTAAAAAGTAAACTAAGACCTCTTGGTGATACAAGTTCTATTCAAAGTCAATATAATAATGTTATTCTTGGTTGGAGCAGGTCACTTTATCTCAGAAATCTAGATCTTTTGGTGACACTAAGTCTTTTCACATTCTTATGCATAAGTTGCAAATGGCCAGATGTGTAACAATTTGTAAATTTCAGCTTACCGTTTAGAATATCTTCCTTGTTTGGCATCTAGGTAAGCTTCAGTTATACAGTTAGTATCCTCACAGTTAATGTGTATAGTACATCTATGATGTGGCATCACAGTGTTGTCTCCTGTGTTAGGATCAGCTAGAAAGTTAGGTATCTTGTTCACAGCAACTATAAGAAACAAAACATTTGTGCCATCACCATTCAGATATCATAAATAAGTATCACCCTTTCCCTATACAAATTTATGCATACAATTATATATCATGAAGCATCAATTGCAAAACTAAACTTAAAGGATACAAATATTCACTAAAATGCCCTTCTAGTATGTGAAAAGGGTAGAAAATATATAGCCAACAGTCAGGTTCCATTGTAATTATTATAGGGCATGAAGAATTATAATCAAAAAGAAATATTACAAGAAAATCTTGCATATACAGACAAACGTGGAATAAAAATATCGTTTTCTTTCAAAATAAAGTTATAAATATATGTATGCTATTTACCATTTATCTTTGTTACAGGAGAATCATAGTTGAACAATTTAACATCATCTTCTACATCTGATGGTAAAGTTTTCTAGAAACATAACAGAATAAATTGATAAAAACAATGAGGAAGAATAGGAAATCTTTGTCTAGCATCAGTTGGCCCAATATAATCTGGAGCCTCCCTCAAAAGGTAGAGATTCATAGAAATTACAAATACACAAAACATATGAAATATCAGTAAATGACAGTGCATTAAGAAATAATGTCAAAGAAGGACAGAACAGAAAATACAGGAGCTCATGAGCTTAAACAAGTAAGTTAAAGGGTACCAAAACAGAGCAACCAGAAACCATCAACATCATAAATGTCATAGGTGGTTGTAACCTTAATAGAAATACGTGTATGTCTTATCATGATGAAAGAAGGGAGATAAACTGTTCACTATAATACTAATCACTGATTCCATTTTACTTCCCCCTTTATCTTATTACACATACCTTATTCAAGTTGACTATCAATTTACAGTCATTTCTAGAATTTATACTGCAAACAAATACCTGTTGAAAACAATAACAATACAGTCTAACCTGTTCTATTGGACCATCATTACAGAAAAATGAGAGACTACCTCTCAAAATAGCCATTTTGTTCATTTCCCCAGAACAGGTTTGTCTGTAATTTAAACAAGAGGGCCATGATGGCCCTGAGGTCGCTCACCTGTATATAGCCCCCCCCCAACGTTGCAGGGCCAACTTAACCCAAGGGCTTTTATTTGCACAAACTTGGTAGACACCCATAAGAAGATGTTTCATGCTAAACATCCAAGCTCTAGCTCATTGGGCTTTTAAAAAGAAGATTTTTTTTAAGTTTTTACTATACACATATAGTTAAAAACAATGACACCCCTGGGGCCGGGCCAGTTTTGACCCAAGGGCTTCTATTTGAACAAACTTTGTAGACACTTACTAGAAGATGTTTCATGCTTAATATCTAAACTCTAGCTATTTGGGTTTTTTCAAAGAAGATTTTAAGTTTTTGCTATACACATATAAAGAAAATCAATGACCCCCGGGGCGGGGCCAATTTTGACCCCAGGTCTTTTATTTGAACAAACTTTGTAGACACTCACTAAAAGATGTTTCATGCTTAATATCTTAACTCTAGCTATTTGGGTTTTTTCAAAGAAGATTTTTTAAGTTTTTGCTATACACATATAAGTAAAATCAATGACCCCCTGGGCAGTGCCAATTTTGACCCCAGGGCTTTTATTTGAACAAACTTGGTAGACACCTATGAGAACATGTTTGATGCTAAATATCTTAGCCATAGCTCTTTGAGTTCTTTAAAAGAAGATTTTTTAGGTTTTTACAATGTGCATATAGGAAAAATCAATGACCCCCCCGGGGCGGGGCCAATTTTGACCCCAGGGCTTTTATTTGAACAAACTTGGTAGACACCCATTAGAACATGTTTCATGCTAAATATCTTAGCTCTAGCTCTTTGGGTTCTTTAAAAGAAGATTTTTTAAGTTTTTACTATATGCATATAGGGAAAATCAATGACCCCCGGGGCGGGGCCAATTTTGACCCCAGGGCTTTTTATTTGAACAAACTTGGTAGACACCCATTAGAACATGTTTCATGCTAAATATCTTAGCTCTAGCTCTTTGGGTTCTTTAAAAGAAGATTTTTTAAGTTTTTACTATATGCATATAGGGAAAATCAATGACCCCCCAGGGCGGGGCCAATTTTGACCCCAGGGCTTTTATTTGAACAAACTTGGTAGACACTCACTAGAAGATGTTTCATGCCAAATATCTAAGCTCTAGCTCTTAGGGTTTTTTTTAAAAGAAGATATTTAAAAAAATTTCTTTCGGTTGCCATGGCAACCAGAGTTCTGCATGGAATTAAATTCTTTGAACAATTTTTAAAGGTGACCACCAAAGGCACATTCCTGTGAAGTTTGGATGAAATTGGCTTAGTGGTTTATGAGGAGATGTCATTTAAAGTAAAAGTTTACGGACGGACGGACGCCGGACGAAAAGCGATCACAAAAGCTCACCCTGTCACTTTGTGACAGGTGAGCTAAAAAACTAGAACTGCCACTATCATGGCGTGAATACCCCCCGCATACCACTTTGTCAGAATCAACAGTGGCCATTTAGAGCTCAAGGACAACCTCCCTGCCAAATCTGAGGTTACTAAGCCAGTGCATTGCTAAGTTATGTATTCTACATGCTTCAAATGTGAAAATGTCAAAATCAATATATTGCAGACAGGACATTCTTTAGCAATTGAGAAGAAAAGCTTTTTCTTTGTCAAGGTCCCTGTGACCTTGACCTTTGACCTCAAAATCAATAGGGGTCACCTTATAGTCATGATCAACATCCATGCCAAATATGAAGACTGTGGGTCAAAGGAATCTTAAGTTAATGGGTGGACAAACTTTTTGAAGTCAAAGTCCCTATGACCTTGACCTTTGATCCAGTGACCTCAAAATCAAAAGGGGTCATCTACTAATCATGACTAACCTCCATTCCAAATATGAAGACTGTGGGTCATAGGAATCTTAAGTTATTGGGCGGACAAGCTTTTTGAAGTCAAGGCCCCTGTGACCTTGACCTTTGACCTGGTGACCTCAAAATCAATAGGGGTCATCTACTAATCATGACTAACCTCCATGCCAAATATGAAGACTGTGGGTCAAAGGAATCTTAAGTTATAGGGCGGACAAGCTTTTTGAAGTCAAGGCCCCTGTGACCTTGACCTTTGACCTGGTGACCTCAAAGTCAATAGGGGTCATCTACTAATCATGACTAACCTCCATGCCAAATATGAAGACTGTGGGTCAAAGGAATCTTAAGTTATTGGGCGGACAAGCTTTTTGAAGTCAAGGCCCCTGTGACCTTGACCTTTGACCTGGTGACCTCAAAGTCAATAGGGGTCATCTACTTATCATGACTAGCCTCCATGCCAAATATGAAGACTGTGGGTCAAAGGAATCTTAAGTTATTGGTCGGACAAGCTTTTTGAAGTCAAGGCCCCTGTGACCTTGACCTTTGGCCTGGTGACCTCAAAGTCAATAGGGGTCATCTACTAATCATGACTAACCTCAATGCCAAATATGAAGACTATGGGTCAAAGGATTCTTAAGTTATTTGGTGGACAAGCTTTTTGAAGTCAAGGCCCCTGTGACCTTGACCTTTGACCTGGTGACCTAAAAATCAATAGGGGTCATCTACTAATCATGACTAACCTCAATGCCAAATATGACGACTGTAGGTCAAAGGAATCTTAAGTTATTGGACGGACAAGCTTTTTAAAGTCAAGGCCCCTGTGACCTTGACCTCAAAATCAATAGGGGTCATCTACTAATCATGACTAACCTCCATGCCAAATATGAAGACTAAGGGTCAAAGGAATCTTAAGTTATTGGGCGGACAAGAAAAAACCGACAGACGGCCGGACAGCCGGACGGACAAGCTGATTCCAGTATACCCCCCTTACAACTTTGTTGTGCGGGGGTATAAAAATCTTTCATTTAAGTCTGAGTTATTTACCTCTGGTAAAAGGTCAACAAATGTGACCTTTGGTGTAGCATTTGATAGTATGACCTTTGCCCTGATCTCTGTACCATCTTTCAGGACAACACCCACTGCTTCATCATTCTGAGTCAGTATTTTGTTAACTGGCTGAAACAACAACAACAAATTTAAATTCACTGATTTTCTTAACAAAAATTTGCACACTCAATAAAATATACTATGCTCATTTTTGGATAAGACACTTTTAACTACAGAAATCTATTGAAATCTAGGAAATTGTTAGTTAATTTGTCAAATTTAAATAAAAGAATACACAAACTATTTTTGAGAAGTTGCATTCACTATTACTGGTCAAGTTAATTTGATCTTCATTTATAAAAAGTGTCAGTTATTTAATGACACTATGTATTTATACTGTGTTTACCAAAAGTATGTCAAGTTTAAAATGTAACATATCTTCTCTCTCTGTACTTTAAAAGATATTTATATTTATCTTAAGAATGTATAGTTTCAAATATCAAATTTGAGCATAATATATCTTTAAAGAAACAAAAAATAGCAGTTACATTACATTACGTTATAAAACTGTTTACATCATGAGACACAAATCCATTCAAATCTGTTCGTAAAAAAAGTTGCAACATAAAATCTTTTGACCTATACATATAATTATCTTTAATATAATATGTTTAAACTTAGAAAAGTATGAAGAAGTATCCAATTTATCAATAATGTATAATTCAAGATGTTAACGAAGTCACATCAACTGATCATCTAACCTTATTTGTGAAGATACTGGTCCCATGGTCCATGGCACAGTTGGCTATAGCTTGTGACAACAGACCCCATACCTCCTTCCACAATGCCCCAGGCCCCTTTCACACCCTCTAGCTCACCCATCACATGGTGGAGCAACACATACCTATTGAGAGTAGTGAAAGCTGGGTATTTTTAAATTTTCAATTTTAACTTTTTCTTTATTAACAATTGCTCATATTTTCCCTTATATACAAATATACATTATTTTCTTTATAAACAAACTGCATGATTTTATTTAAAAATCAGTCAACAACAAAATTTATTCATATGACTTTTCAATATAAACAAATCTATATAGTTTAAAACTTACACAACTGAACATTTGATGCTTTCAAAATTGTCTCATAAGACTTACATGGACATTGAATGAGTACTTGAATAGCATTAAATTGTACTTGTCTGTTTTCTACAAATTTCATGCTTTAGTCAAGAAGTGGGATATTTATATATAGTTTTAAAGCTAATTAATCATTAACTCATACCTTTTAAACTGTCATAGTTGATATACATAAAATTATGTTTTTGGGAAAAATAAAAAATAATGAGGTTTATAGCAGTTAAATTTTTTCCAGTTTTAGTTTCAAAAACATTCCAATGAAATTTTTTCTGAAGATGCTTTAACCCATTACCCCATGAGCATTTTGTGAAAAATGGCTGTTTTCATTGAAAAGTCTCCCGTTACAAGTTCAAGTTGCTATAAAACTATAAAAACTGCTTCAATACTAATCAAACTTGGCACAAATGTTGACTGGACCATTGCCTTTGTAACAACATGCTCAGTCTGAAATTTCCTGTTACCATGGCAACTAGGGGACATCTCAAAATTGCCAAAAATCACTATTTTGCGTTGATTTTTTCCATCAAAATTGATTTCAAAGTGCTGCCACTTCTCAATGGATTAAGATAGAGTCAAAGGCTTTTCAGCATTGGTTACACGTTACCTTATGATCGACCTGGGGCCATTTTTAGCCTCCCACAAGTCCAAAATTTTCTTGGCGATGAGGGGGACTTGAGGTGCCCCCTTCAAACCCCCCTAACAGAAGGGGGCACGTCCCCCTTCTGGCAAGCCCCTGATGTATCTTTTGGATGGGGGGCCGCGCCGAAAAATTGGTCAATTTTTTAAACAAAATTTCTCAAACAAAAAAAGTGTTTGGGAGTCTAAATAAGGCATTTTTTCACCATTTGAGAAAGCAAAAAGGGGGGGGGTGAAAAAGGCGTAGAAAGGCGTATATATCTGGTAATGGGTTAATAGGTAAAAAATTGAACACCTCAGTTCATCTGAGAGGTTCCAAATTTTTACAATATCTAACTAGAACGCCACTGTTATGGCGTGAATACCCCTGCATACTGCTTTGTCAGAATCAACAGTGGTCATTAAGAGCTCAAGGACAACCTCCCTGCCAAATCTGAGGGTAGTTAAAGCCAGTGCATTGCTAAGTTATGTATTCTACACAATGTAAGAAATTAGGATTTGAATCGACTAGGCTGGTTGGACTACCAGATTGGAATATTCACTAGCCCAAAAGACATTTCACTAGCACGATTCATTTGTAATCAACAGCTGTTTATATTGCCTCTGAAAATACAGTAGCCTGGTCGGGCTTGTTACTGTGAAAAGTTGGTAGCCCGAGGAGAAATTTAATAGTCGGGGCTATAAGACTACTGCTAATTTTGAACACTGCTACATGTTTTCAGTGGCAAAGATCAAAGTGACCTTTATCTTTGACCTACTGACCTCAAAACTGAAACTGCCACTGCATGACTTGAATATCTTACACCCTCATTCATGCAGATTTGCCTGGGGGTGTTTTATAATGAATAAATGAGAACATAATTATATGCTTCAAATGTGAAAATGGAGAGTGTAGGACAAAAGCCCCCCGGGGGAAAGCCCCCCCTTCTAAAAAATGACAAGGTGGACAAAAGCCCCCCCCCATGAAATTTTCACATAGGACAAAAGCCCCCCCCCCATCAAAAATACAGGTAGGACAAAAGCCCCCCCCATCTTTTTTCACAGGCACAGGTGCTCAAATTTCACACAAACTTTTAAATAAAAATTAAAAGAATTTGTTTTAATGTTTATTTATAATGTATATATTGAAGTGATAACAAAGTTTATGATAACAGATTAAATAATGCATGCATGCGATACTGAATTCATAGCTTTTCATATACACAACAAGGGTCAGAAGAGTAGTAATGTTTAATCACTTTTGCAAAGGGATCAACTTAATATCCTTAGCACTATGTCACCTACATGTGATGTCCATACATATCTTTTAAACACACAAAAAACACAACTTTAATACACTATATGTCAATTTGATTGACTATGGGGGGGGGGGGCTTTTGTCCTACCTTTACTTTTTTATGGGGGGGCTTTTGTCCTATGTGTAAATTTCATGGGGGGGGGGCTTTTGTCCACCTTGTCATTTTTAGACGGGGGGGCTTTCGTCCGGTGGGGCTTTTGTCCGAATCCCGAAAATGGAAAATGTAGTTGTAGAATGAAATGTTAATACTAACAATATGATCTTTGAATGAAATTCAACAGGTAAATGAAAACTACAGAGTTTATATATGGTTGAATGGTAAAGCTACACCAAGCACAAAGTGGTCACTGTCATAGATAGGTATCATATCAGAATTTATTCCTGCTGAATCAAAGTTTACATTAACCTTGTGAATAACTCCTCCTTTCCAATGTGTTGAAGTGTTGAAACATGGCTGGAAATGATAGTAATGTGATAGATTGGTGAAATCTTCACAAGTACTGTTGTTGTTGTATGTTGTATTGGTCTATGACAAATATGAAGATGTGCACCAAAGCATTCTTGAGCTTCTAAATGGGCAAGCTTTTTAGACTCAATGCCCCTATGACCTTGACCTCTAGTATCAAAATCAATACACTGTTGATGGGCATTCATAAGCATTTGAGCAGACAAGCTTATTGCAGTAAAAGCCCCTGTGACCTTGACCTTTGACACAGTCACCTACAAATCAATAGGGGTCATCTAGTGGTCATATCCAACCTCAATACCAAATATGAAGACTGTTGACCAAAGCATTCTTAAGCCATTGAGCGGACAATTTTTTTTAAGTAATTGCCCCCTGTGACCTTAGCTTTTGACCCAGTGACTTAAAAATCAAAAGGGGTCACCTAATGGTCATGATCAACCTCCTCACCAATTATGAAGACTGTGGGTCAAAGGATTCTTAAGTTATTCGGTGGACAAGCTTTTTTTTAGTCAAGGCCCTTCTGACCCTGACCTTTGATCTTGTGACCTCAAAATCAATAGAGTCATCTACTAGTCATAACCAACCTCAATACCAAATATAAAGACCATTGACCAAAATATTCTTAAGAAATTGAGTTGACAAGCTTTTTTAACTAAAAGCCCCTATTACCTTGACCTTTGACCTCAAAATCAATAGGGGCCATCTTTTAATCATGACCAATTTCAATACCAAATATGAAGACTCACAGTGCGTCAAAGTATTATTAAGTTATTGGGTGGATAAGGAAAATCCGACAAAGGGCCAGGCAGACAAGCTGATTCCAGTATACCCCCCCCTTACAACTTTGTTGTGCGGGGGTATAATTACCTTGCCAAAAGTGGCAGCCATTTTGGGAGTCAATATTCTATATAATGTAAATATGAAAAAAATCAATACAAACAACTGATTTTAATGAGTTATCAAATTCATGTTTATATGAAGGAAAATATTACTATAGCACCAATATGTAAAAGATTATTATTAGACTTCATTAAGATGATACTAGAATTATGAGAGATTTTTTTATCTTATCTTACACATCAAATACCTTGGGAATGACCCTCAAAATGGTTGCGGGGGGAGATAATTATTGCTATGTTTAACCCATCAATAAAATCATTACAATACAATAGTAAGACAACTGACCCACTTCCTGGTGTCTCTGGGCTAATCATAGCACCAATCACTGCATCTGTCGCCAGTGTGGCCTTCAAAGGTTCAGACTCAAACCATTTGTCAAGCACCTTTAAAATATATTCAAAATTCAAACCAAGCAATAGTGGTAAACATGATCCAGTAAAGAGGTATTGTCTACCTCCTATGTAAAAGGTAAAAAAATATGACCCCTCTCCTATTTAATAATATTTATATAAATGATACCAGTACATTTCTAAACTGTGCTAGATTCAGACCATCCAGTGTCAGTCACACCAGCAATGTCAAGGTCATATAACAAGTTTTCCAATTTCACTGGAAGGGAACCCTCCATGCATTATTTCAGGAACAAGCCAGCATCTGTGTAGAACCACTGATCTTCCATTATTCATCTGGATAACTTCCTCACACCAAATAAACCACACAAGTTTCTGACATGATTCTAACGGCAGTGAAATGCATGAGATCAAAAGTATGTGTCCTATGACCAAAATCAGCAATAATGGCCAAATGGACTAGAAAATTTAACATTCCAATAATTTTTCAATGAAGGGGCAGTGCAAAATTGGTCACTGTCCTTAGTTCTTAAAGCAGACAACATTTCCTTGTATAACTAAAATATTCTTAAGGGAGATAATATTAAAATCATGCAAGAAAAGATATGTTACTTTAGTGGCTGGTGCTGTCATTAAATCATAGAAGTCTTTGCTGTCCTTGCCTAGCTTCACCACTAAAAAAGAGACAGAAAAAGTATTGATCAAAGGCACTTCTGTTTCAAAATATATTACTCAATCACTTTTAATGATAACAAGAGCGTTCACAGGAGACAGCGAAGCTCGACTAATAAAATACTGGACGCAGTAAGAAGGACAAAACTATGAAAAAAAAATCAATTATGTATAATTATGTATTAAGTTAAAGTAAAAAAATTACATTTGTTAACATAAATTCCAAGTTCAAGGGAGTATTATTCTGGAAATAGTCATGCTAGAGCTATGAACCTTGTCACACAACATGTGTGTAATGATAAGAAATATATTTGAAGTTTGAAGTAGATACCTTAAAAAGTAAAAAAGTTATAATATTTCTTAAAGGAAATTCTAAGTTAAAAAAAGGATAAATCTGAAAATATTGCTTCAAGAGTTATGAACCTTGTCACATAAGATGTAATTGATGATAAGAAATAAGTATTTGAAGTTTGAGGTAGATACCTTCAAAACTAAAGAAGTTATAGTAAAAAATAACACTTTACAAGTAAAAAAATCTAAATTTGTGGAGAGATAATTCTTGCAATATTGGTGCTAGAGTTATGAACCTTGTCACATAACATGTGGTTAATGATCAGGAACATAAATTTGAAGTTAGAAGTTGATCCCTTAAGAAATAAATAAGTTACAGTAAAAAATAGTATTTTTTAAGGAAAATTCTAAGGTCAAGGGAAGATAAATCTGAAAATATTGGTGCTAGAGTTATGAACCTTGTCACATAAGATGTGGTTGATGATAAGGAACATATAATTGAAGTCGATACCTTAAGAAATAAAAAAAAAGTTAGAGTGAAAAATATTTTACTGCAACAAAACTTTAATCTGAAATCAGGACGCTGACGCCGGGGCGAGTAGGACAGCTCTCCATATACTTCGTATAGTCGAGCTAAAAATCATTAAATAGCATATTTTTTCTTTGGCTGGGTTTACGTTGCTCCAACACAGTATATATCATATGGCAACGATCCAGCTTTACTTGTGGAAGAAGTCCTCAGGTGCTCCTTTATGCATTATTTCAGGCAATGACAGGCACCTAAGTAGAACCATGTGAAAGAATTTGAAGAAAGCTGGTGGGGATCAAACTGCATGGTGAGAGGCAAGTGGTTTGAAGTCAACGACCTTTACCACTTGGCCACAGCACCCCGCCTAACAATGATTAGCCTTGTATAGAGAAATATCGGTTCTGATAATGATGCATTCTTACTATATCTTTTTGGCAGCTCAAGCCTAATTAATTTTATTCTGATATTTTTTATACGAAAATGGACAGTTTCAAGACAAGTAAATCACATAAAATAATTATCTTATAACTGTTTGTAATACAAAAGAACGCTGATGCTTCAATAAACAAGTATCCTACTTCAGCTATATATTTGCATCTTTATGTGCAAATCAAGCATGTCAAGGTGTGAAGTATGTCACTGCAAAAATCATTATAAGTTTGCTATTAAAAACTTCATTACTGCGGTAAATGGTTGATTTGGACCTTAATATGTAGTTTCTTGTAACTGACAAGTATGCTATTAACAAAGATTTCTATTAAATAAGAAAAGGAAAAATATGGACCTAGGGAAATTGTTTCTTATAACCAAGTGTATGCTGTATCTGAAATCTCTATAAGTGAATTCCACTGTAATATATATTTGCTCCAACACTAATCATTTGAACTTTCAAACCTGATCTCTGGCTCATTCAGCAAGAAAAAAAAGGTGAAATTTACATCTTTCTGTCATACACAAAAACACAACAAATGTTACAGGTTGACTGGCTTAATGCCTAATATCACACTAACATGGCAGTGGTAATATTATAATTAACAAGCAAATTCGTTGAATTTATATCCCCCGCCGAGTACTGGTTATTATTAACACAACAACTGAAGACATAAGGCTTTATTTATATATTAATCATGGCATAAACAGTAATATTCTTGACTTGATAAATATTCAGGGAAATAACAGAGCCATAACTTTGTGCTAAATAGTAAAATCTTGAAATGCCAATGAGATGTATGCATACTACATAACTAATCAAGGGCCATAAATCTGAGTTATAAGTATCTGACTGGAACAAGGTGACTATATGCACATCTCCTCTTAGTATCCCATAAAGTTTCATTGAATTCCAGCCGGTGGTAGCAGAGAAGTAGCGAGGAAACAAATATTTTTCTATATGGATACTGCATAACTAATCAAGGGCCATAACTCTGAGTTAAAGTGTCTGACCGGAACAAGCCGATGATATGCGCATCTCCTCTTGGTATTGAAGGTTCCCATAAAAGTTTTGTTGAATTCCAGCCAGTAGTTGCAGAGAAGTAGTGCGGAAACGATTTTTACTCTATATGCATACTTCATAACTAATCAAGGGCTATAACTCTGAGTTAAAGGGTCTGACCGAACAAGCCGACGATATGCGCATCTCTTCTTGATATTGATGATTCCCATAAAGTTCCGTTGAATTCCAGCCAGTAGTTGCAGAGAACTACTCCGGAAATGATTTTTTACTCCATATGCATATTGCATAACTAATCAAGGGCCATAACTCTGAGTTAAAGTGTCTGACCCGAACAAGCTGACGACATGCGCATCTCCTCTTGGTATTTTTTGAAGGTTCCCATAAAGTTTCGTTGAATTCCAGCCAGTAGTTGCAAGAGAAGTAGCGCGGAAAACGATTTTTACTTCCATATGCATACTGCATAACTAATCAAGGGCCATAACTCTGAGTTAAAGTGTCTGACGGAACAAGCCGATGATATGCGCATCTCCTCTTGGTATTGATGATTCCCATAAAGTTTCGTTGAATTCCAGCCAGTAGTTGCAGAGAAGTAGCGCGGGAAACAATTTTTACTCTATATGCATACTACATAACTGATCAAGGGCAATAACTCTGAGTTTAAGTGTCTGACCGGAACAAGCCGACGATATGCGCATCTCCTCTTGATATTGATGATTCCCATAAAGTTTCGTTGAATTCCAGCCAGTAGTTGCAGAGAACTACTCCGGAAACGAAATTCGGACGGACGGACGGACGGACGGTCAGATGCGCATCTCCTCTTGATATTGATGATTCCCATAAAGTTTCGTTGAATTCCTGCCAGTAGTTGCAGAGAACTACTCCGGAAACGAAATTCGGACGGACGGATGGACGGACGGACAACGCCAAAACTATATCCCCCTCCCGATTCCATCGGCGGGGGATAACAACTTACTGCATTGGAAGAGATTTTTGACTGAGTGATACAGTTTTATTTTATCACGTAGTGTTCTATGGTTCAGTAGTAGAGGAAGGTGAACTGGTGGAGAATCCAGGATCGGGTCAAGACTGCCAACTATTCTGTTTAACATTTCTTCAAACTCTTCAAATTTCTGTACAGAAAAAAAGAAAGATAAAATTTGAATTCTGTGGATACAGAAATTCTAAAATTATAATTTTATTTCTTATGCCTACTTCAACAGAGGTTTGGTTGCATGCATCCCAAAGAATCTATTTTGGATCTGAATTGTCAGTGGTTTGTTTTGGTGTAAATTTAGTACAATAAATATGCTCGGGGGATTACTAATTATTGCATGTTGTCAAATAAATTATATCTATTTTTTTCTTCACTTATTGGAATAAAACCTAGGCTGTGGCCTGAATGACATAAAGGCAGCCATGTTATTGTAAAAATTCATGAGCTTATCATGTACAGTCAAATTTGTCATATATGACTTTCCATAAAGCCCATCTCACACAGAACACACGGCTTACACGGTTGGCCACCCGTGTAAACCGTACATACAGCCGAACCAACCGTAGCGTTATCCGAGTTACAGTCGGGCCATTCGAGTGTATCCGTGTAAGCCGTGTATGATTTTTAAAACTTTTAAAAAACTGACACGAATGTCATGTCTGTGTATGATCGTATAAGCGACCGTACAATACCGTAAGAGGCCGTGTGAGACCGTATGAGACCCGTACATACAACCGTATTTCAAGTCCACTACGAGTGAGTCCAACCGTGTCAAGATCGTATATAAATCGTAAGGAATCGTTCGAGACCGTCCTAAAGTCCTACATCCAACACTCGATTAACACCCGAATATCACACGATCACGGTACGATTCACACGAGTGCATACACGGTTTTACACGATTGCCATACGACCAATACGGTTCAGGTACGAATCATACATGGCAGACACGGTTTATTACGCAGCTTCTACTTATTTCTGAGAGTTTTCTTTAAAATAAATGACTTTATTATTAAGGCGTTGCATATTAAATATTTTAGAATTATCCCTTTGCAAAAATTAATTTCCCATAGTCCCTTAATTGGTCTTGGTCCCTATTAAATCATCTGTTCTTGCCACGGAACCGAACCAACTTCAGACATGAAGTAACCCCTGAGGTAGTTTCTTTGTTGCTTTCCAAGGTTATTGTCTACTTTACGACCAACAGGTACTCCTGCGTCCGCTAGTTTACTCATCTCTAGCCATACTAGGGCATGGTTTGGTCCTCTTGGTCGGCATTGGCTGTTACACCAGGCTATCGTATCCTGAAAAGCTTGTGCAACATGACACAGGTAAGGACTAGGGACTTCACACTTTCTGTTTTCTTATAAACTTTCGCATGAAGCAGACATTGAAATCTGTTGGCCAATATTCCGATGCATTCTCCACCACTCTTCTGGCACGAGACAGTCTGTAATTAAATATGCGCTCATCGTGGCCAAGGTCCATCCTTGAGTAGGGTTCATTATCAAGGTCATCAATGGAAATGCATTGTCTCCCAGGAAAAAGTAGGGCAGGTTTTCGTTCAGGCCTGGCATCGGCTCTTGATCAGGAAAACCTAATTAACCACCTTCCACCAACTCCCTCAATTCAGATTTGTTGAACACTCGACAATCGGATGCTGAACCATACTCCGCCACTGATGCCAATAAGAACTTGTAGTCGGCATCTGCCAATGCCGAAAGGATCATGAAGAAAAATCCTTGTAGTTGTGGTAGAGTGATCCATATTTTGGTGGAGCCTTGATAGGAATATGTTTGCCTTCCAGGGCACCACAAGCATGGGGAAAATTCCACGTGATGTTGAACCTGTCACTGACTTCCCTCCATTTACCTTGCTAAATAAGTGGAAGCTTAACGTGGGCTTTTAATGTGTCGACTATGGCCTTCAGGACGGTCGGTATGAATTTGGAGATTGTATTGTCTGCAACACGGAAACTGTACATGTAGCACCAGTGGCCTTGTGTCTGAGTGTGATTGCAAGCATGAGTTCAGGCCCCTATTGTTCTCTGAAAAAAAATAATAGTTAAGAAATATTTATCAGCGACATTTGTTTTAAAATTCTCACATGTATATCTATACATATTTCTACTATCGATCATTGAGATTAGTATTAATAGTTCATGCTATTTATACTTTGCTATTGATTATTTTTCCCTGGAAAAAATATAATATTAGTGTTAACCTCTAATCGGTTGTCCTCTTAGATATCTTTGGCCCAACGCGTCTCACCAACTCCTTAAACAATTCAGCATCAACACGGAGGAAGTTCTTGTAATACATAGGGTCCTCTCTGTTAAGTTCTTGTAGCAGAGTCTCATATTGACCAAACATGGTCTTTCTGTTGAGCCATTATATTGTCAAAATTTGCCTCCTTCTCCTCTGCCTTATGTTGGCTTGATTTTGTCACTCCTCACGCCTTCTGGCCAAAATAATATCAATTTCTATTTGAGTCTAACCATTATTTCTAGCTCCCTTATTCAGTTGTTTGTTGCATCTGCTATTGTTTTTATTTTTCGACGAGAATTCGAAAATTTATGAAGCCAAGCCATCAAAATGGGTCAATTTATATCAAAACATACACGAATGTGTGATAACTCGAACAAAAGTCGGCAGGATCCTATGTTAACCCTGTAAAAGTCGAGTGAATCGAGTAAAAGTTGTGATTAATCGTACCAGACCGTATCAGACCGTAGTTGGAACCGTACAACATTCGTATGTATTCGTATGCAAATCGTTTTCAAACCTTGCTTGACCGAGTATATCCGTGCTTTATTCGCACATACTCGTGCTATATTCGAGTCTTACTCGTACCAACTAATCTCCAGGCATGGTTGGAGCCCAATACTCGTACCAGTCAACCCGTGTATAACCGAGTATACCGTATGAAAACCGAGTGTCCAACCGTGTTTTGTGTGAGACGGGCTTAAGACCATCTGTAAAAAAAAGCTCACATATGACAGAAAGTCTGTCAATCCTGGTCCACAAAAAGTGTAGTCATGATAATGTATAATATTGCTATACATGTATACATTTATACTTGTTAAAAATATATGATAATTGTTAAAAATATATGATAATTTTTATTTCTATTCGATGTAAAACAGTTTAAAATTTTTATGTATTTAAAGCATTTTCTTCAAGGTAAAACTAATGTACACCTAATTTTTTCAACATAACCATTATTATTTTTCTGCTTATTTTTTACACTCAATGGCTGCAAAAAATCATGGTCCTAAGTCTGACCCAAAAGTGAGCTGGTTGTTTTGATGTCTTTATAGATAGATTAACGTAGAGCAGTTTTAAATAAAATCATATACTTTAAGAAATTGTAAGAGTCGCTAGCAAGTTGTCTGTATATATAATTTCAAGCATTTTATAAACCTTGTGCAATAAGTCATGAAATAATGTAAATCATTAGAGATTTTTTTTTTCAACTGAAGCATTAACACAAATAATTTACCCTGGCATCTCTCTCAGAAAACTGTGCAATTTGAGCCCTATTTTTAGTTGAGTCTCTTCCAAGAAGTAAAGATTTGACCTGTTGACCTCTGATTGTCTGTGGCTCAAGTAATGGTGTATAGGCATTAGGGTCCCTCAGAAATACTTTCAGGCCATATTTCTATAAAATAAAGAATCAAATAAATGTAATTATACTGAAAACACTCATGCTTGCATGGGGAACTTAAAATGTGCTTAATCAAAATTAGCTTACTTTTTTCATAGTGGGGTAGAATTTCCATGATACAAATAGTAGATCTTGATAATTTTTGCAGAATAAATTCAAGTCTTCACTTGAATTGAGAATACTTATACATTTCCTAGACCATCAATTGATTTTTTTTAAAACAAAATATGACTAGAAATAAATTTGTAAATATATGAAAACTTTTCCTCACCTTTAACTCAAGATCTTTATATACAATAGGTCTCAGTAAACTCAAAACATATGAAGCCCTTGAAAACTTGTATCCTGAAATAAAGCACAAAATATTAAGACCTACAATGATTACAAAGAACTAGATAATGTCAAAAAATAAAAGTTCAGTTTAACAGAATATCAGGTTTTCAATTTCAATTTTTTATCACATATGAACAAGCTTAAAGAAAAATTAAATTAATCAGAAATAATCATGCATTCTTGAACAATTTATCACTTCTTATCTGCAACCACAAAATTTAATATTTCATACATTCCAGTTCATGAACTGGTACATGCAAATCAAATTCTTCTCAGTAAACATTTTAAAGCAGAGTTATCCAGCTTTAAATAATTATGGAATCATCAAATTCTATTATTACGTCTCATTTTTTTTCAATAATGTTTATTTCCCATAAACCAACAGATTTTTCCAAGCTTATCGGACAGTACAAACAAACTTTTACCATTACAGCTCTACTAGCACTACCATTCATATTAGATTAGTAAAGCTGTTGAGCTTATTTTCAAAGCTGTAACTGTAAATGTTTGTCCATTCCCTTCAGTAGTTTTGGAGATACCAACTTGCACTCAAAAACTTGATCAAAGTGTGACACTGACACCTGGGTGTGTATAATAGCTCTTCCTTTTCATTGAAATGACAGGCTGAAATTTAAACCTGGAACAATTTCCTCTGTCACAGCTGCACCACCAATCACATGTCTTCTTTCAAGTACACAAACATCTAGGCCTTGTTTCTGTAGATATGCTGCCTACAAACAAATAAAACAACAAAACATATCAACATGTGCTGAGAAAAAAAATCATAAAACAAACATTATACATTGTGCATACTCTTGCTGTATGCTTGTTTTTTATTGTTTTTTTTATTATTGTTGTTGTTTTTTTCTAATTATATCATAATTATAACTGACATGCAACATTCTGTGGGTGGATAACAAATGGAATGGGGAGTGGTAAATTTTATGGTTTATCTGAGTAATAGTTTGAAACTAGCATCTATGTTGCTAATACATTGCTTACAAATATAGATGCACTAATGTTGAAACTTGATTAAACTAAGGAATAATATAAACAAACTAAAAAGATACACAATATTGTCAATACAAAATTGATTTGCAGATTGATAAAATCATGCATGCTACATTTCAATGTTGACAAACTGGTTAGTTTTTATTTAGGCTAAAATGTGCTTGACAGAAAGTTAAATGTTCCAAGTCCATTCCACATGTGCATGATCAAACACAAGCAAATACAGTGTACCAAGAAAGGAAAGCCCAATAATTAGGAAAACATAACAATAAATTTTGTACACACTTTTAAATCAGGCTTTTATCTTACATAAAAAATTATTTAATTCTTAGTTTTATTCCTTCAACAAGTCTTTCCTTACAGTTACACCTATTTAATATAGTGCTTTAAAATACTGATTGTATAGAATGCATTTGAAAGAGAAGTCAAGAATCTCAGTTGCTTCAGACGTAATGTTGTCCAACAAATTGTCATAGGAGAACACATGTTATGCTGAAAATTCAAACTGACATATTACACAAAATTCTGTCTACTTAAATTTCTACCTATTCAACTATGTATTGAAGAAATCTCTACCTATTCCACTAAGTATTGAAGAAATCTCTACCTATTCAATTAAATATTGAAGGCTCATAGGGAAGACTGAGCACATCCAACTGTGTTGCCTCTTATTATTACATTATTATTATTTAATTCATTATAAACTTAGTATTGAACTAAGTCTTCAAAATAAGTATTGAAATCAGTGGAAGGAAAGAGCTAGGTCTTTAGAGCATTACTTTAGGCACCATGAGGTAAAAATGTGGTACATGACATGTTATTACATAACCATTGGCTCCACACAAATGTACTAGTAAATCTGCAGAATAACAGTCACATTGTTCACAAGATCCAACTACCTTCAATTACATGCTTCATATCAAATAAAATCATTTTAGGTGAAAGAAAGGAGAATTGAAGTCTGCCTTCACCATTTTGCTAAACAGCTACATTGTAATCTGTGCAGAGTACTATTCTTATCGAAATATGTGCTTTGAAGATGAAGATCTGGTGAAACTTATTGGCATGACAAATTACAGTAATACTATGTAAGATATTAAAAGAGAGGCTATAACTTCTGTGATTTTACTTTTGGGGCACAAACCTGTATATAAAAACTCTCCATGACAAGGGACAAGTACTATTTTAAACTATAAACAAAAGCAGATATAAAATCTTCATCTTGAACTGTTATCACAAGATTCATATTTGTATCTGAAACAGTGCATGTGTAAAAACATTAAAGAAAATCAATGACCCCCGGGGCGGGGCCAATTTTGACCACCAGGGCTTTATTTGAACAAACTTGGTAGACACTCACTAAAAGATGTTTCATGCTTAATATCTAAGCTCTAGCTCTTTGGGTTTTTCTTAAATGAAGATTTTTTAAGTTTTTTCTTTTGGTTGTCATGGCAACCAGAGTTCTGCATGGAATTTAATTCTTTGAGCTAAAAAAAGAATATTTGGCAGCACTGCATAAGTATCTAATATCACTAAATAAAATAAAGAGCCCTTAAACTGTTAGTTGGAATCAATTTAAATATTGCTTTTACAACTATTTGCATAGTTTTTTTATTTGCATGTAAATGTAAATTTGGGCCTTGCCACAACATTATTCATATTATCCTGAATATTTTCGTTTAATTAAATATTTGATAAAAATTGGTATATTATTTCAGTTTTTTTAACCTTGTACTTCTACATGGTTTAACCAATAGTTCTAATTATGTTGTTGTTTTCCCTGGTTATACCCAACTTATTTTTGTCCACGAAATACTTGCTTTACTAAATTTCATATGATATGTAATGGAGAATAAGGAATACAACACCCTAATATAAAACCTATTTAATACAAGCTGTTTCCTCTTTTATTATCTTTATTATCATGCATAACTACATATATGTAAGATTTTCAAAGTATGTGTTACACTTTTAATATTGCTGATTAAATTGAGAACATTGTCAGAGTTTCATGCTGGAGAGCCGTGCAAAGTTTCTGATAGAATTTGGTATGATGGGAATGAATACACATTATAAAGATATAAAATATACATACAGACACCAAACCATTATGTCCTGAAATACATGTATTACTGATGCTAAAATTGTAGCTCTTCATAAAATTAAACAATATAAAGCTATATCTTATGATAACCTCTTATTTAAAGTTATAAAAACTTTAAAATATATACAGATTCTAGAACGACTTTGTTGTACTGCCAGGAACCCAGGTCTACCAAGTTATTGCTGGCTGGGGCCAGTTAGGTCCATTCTTAGTATAAGTGCTGGAGCCCACCTGGTCACATATAGTAAAAAATAAGTAGTCAATTTGCAAATTCTTAAAAGTCCTTTTAATATGCTAATGCTTACACTGAACAGTCTTCTTAATGGTACATTAATAAATATTGACATGATATTCTTATAAAATTTATATCATCTTTACTTTATGATTGATTGTAGAAATAGTTGGTTCATAGAATGCTTTGTTAAATTAACACACATAAATGGTACACATAAGTACTGTACATAAACAGAATAAAATGTTCTAGAACAAAATATCATGCTACTTTTTAAATATTTAAGTTTTAACTGTTTAGCAATGGTATCATGAACTCACCATTTTTTCTCAATACATGAATACAAATACACAGTGATTTAAATGACTTTCATAAATTGGCCATTAATCTGATAAAATAAAACTATTATGATCTGACATCATATCAGGGCCAAAAACCCTTTTTGTAGAGGCCAAATATAGGTTGTTTCCCCAACCAAACTAGCCTCTTTTGTTCCCAAGTTTAGTCAAAATTCTCCAGTTTTTTTAAATGTCCCATAGAATTTAGAACAAAATTAAATGAAAGTATTGAATTAAGGTCTTTTACTGCCTTATTAGTATTTCCCAGTGCTTTTCTATTTTGAAGAACTTGTTAAAAGTTTGTGTTAAATTTGAAACCCCCTTTCCCAAAGAATGCCAAAATCACGCATATTTTACCCAATGAGGCCCCTTCCCCAAAAATTTTGTTTTGGGCCCTGCATATGAGTAGTACATAATGCCTTAAATCAAAATAACAACATTTCATTAGAATTGTCATACAAAACAATTTCACCAACAATCATGTCTTTACAAAGCCTTTGATTTCAACATTAATAAAGCTGTATTGTTATTTCATGCAATTATGATAATAATACATGTTGGAATGTTATACAAGTTACAATACATACAAAATATAACAATACATCATGCAGTCTATTGTCAGTCCTATTTTGAAATATCAATTTTTGTAAACCATGTGCTTCTTACATTAGTTAAGGGTTGACTGTATAATTGCTTTATCAAACCATATATGATAATCATACCTGCACCAATAACTACCGCATCATATGAAGTCTTAAGCTCCTTCTTGTCTACACCAACTGTTGAACTATATAGTCGAGATAAAACAGGTCTGCTATGTTCACCCAACAACCTCCTCAACTTTAACAAAGTCATTCTTTCTGAGTGTCAAAAAGTATCAGCCTATTTCAAGATTCCATAAAGTTCTTCAATTCACTGAGACTGAAAAGATGTAAATTTAAACAGTGTAAAATTCTAATTAATCAGTTCACAAGCATCAGAACCATTTCAAATCAAGAAGCAGTCTATGCTAAAGACCTCTGAATTTTACTGAACAGTAGGTCCTGTAAACTGAAAATTTTTACTGGACCAAAACCGTAACATTGACCTTGGCCCAAGGGGGCTCAAATGCAATACCAACTGGGGTCTTCATATAAGCTGGCTACTGGAATCCTTCATATTACCGGACAAAATGTGATATTTTTATGCTAGAACTTTTATTTCAAACCATAAACAAGAGGGCCATGATTGCCCTGAGCCGTGAGGTCGCTCACCTGTACATAGGCCCCCGAAGCGGGGCCAGTTTAAACCCCGGGGCTTTTATTTGAACAAACTTGGTAGACAACCATTAGAAAAAGTTTCATGCTAAACATCTAAGGTCTAGCTTGTTTGGATTTTTAAAAGAAGATTTTTTTCTTTACACATATAGTTAAAAACAATGACACACCTGTCGCAGGGCCAGTTTTGACCCCAGGGCTTTTATTTGAACAATATTTGTAGACACTTACTAGAAAATGTTTCATGCTTAATATCTAAACTCTAGCTATTCGTGTTTTTTCAAAGAAGATTTTTAAGTTTTTGCTATACTCGTATAAGGAAAATCAATGTCCCCTGGGGCGGGGCCAATTTTGACTCCAGGGCTTTTATTTGAACAAATTTTGAAGACACTCACTAGAAGATGCTTCGTGCTTAATATCTAAACTCTAGCTATTTGAGTTTTTTCAAAGAAGATTTTTTAATTGTTGCTATAGTTTTACACATATAGGGAAAATGAATGACCTCCGGGGTGGGGCCAATTTTGACCCCAGGGCTTTTATTTGAACAAACTTTGTAGACACTCACTAGAAGATGTTTCATGCTTAATATCTAAACTCTAGCTATTTGCTTTTTTCCAAAGAAGATTTTTTAAGTTTTTCCTATACACATATAAGGAAATTTGGAAAATCAATGACCCCCTGGGCCGGGCCAATTTTGACCCCAGGGCTCTTATTTGAACAAACTTGGTAGACATCCATTAGAACATGTTTCATGCTAAATATCTTAGCTCTACCTCTTTGGGTTCTTTAAAAGAAGATTTTTAAGTTTTTACTATATGCATATGGGGAAAATCAATGACCCACTGGGGCCGGGCAAAGTTTGACCCCAGGGCTTTTATTTAAACAAACTTGGTAGACACCCATTAGAAGATGTTTCATGCTAAATATCTTAGCTCTAGCTCTTTGGGTTCTTTAAAAGAAGATTTTTTAAGTTTTTACTATATGCATATAGGGAAAATCAATGACCCCCTGGGGTGGGGCCAATTTTGACCCAAGGGCTTTTATTTGAACAAACTTGGTAGACATCCATTAGAACATGTTTCATGCTAAATATCTTAGCTCTAGCTCTTTTGGTTCTTTAAAAGAAGATTTTTTAAGTTTTTACTATATGCATATAGGGAAAATCAATGACCCCCTGGGGCGGGGCAAATTTTGACCCCAGGGCTTTTATTTGAACAAACTTGGTAGACACCCATTAGAAGATGTTTCATGCTAAATATCTTAGCTCTAGCTCTTTTGGTTCTTTAAAAGAAGATTTTTTAAAGTTTTTACTATATGCGTATCGGGAAAATCAATGACCCCCTAAGGCGGGGCCAATTTTGACCCAAGAGCTTTTATTTGAACAAACTTGGTAGACATCCACCAGAAGATGTTTCATGCCAAAAATCTAAGCTCTAGCTTATTGGGTTTTTTAGAAGAAGATATTTTAAGTTTTTTCTTTTGGTTGCCATGGCAACCTGAGTTCTGCATGGAATGGAATTCTTTGAACAACTTTGTTAAGGCTTCACACAAGGAACATCCCTGTGAAGTTTCATTATGATCTGCCTTATGGTTTCAGAGGAGATAACGTTTTAAAAGTGTGAACTGACAACAGACGATGTACGACGGACGACAGACGAAGAGTGATCCTAATAGCTCACCCTGAGCATATGCTCAGGTGAGCTTAAAACAAGAGCAACATTGTCACAATATACGCCCGTCACAGAAGCTTTTGAGAGAGAATTGTGGGCATATACAGATATGCATATAGGAGATCATTATGCTCTGGGTAACATTTGGAAAATATCTGGATATATAATCATCTCTAGTGATTTTTTTATCTGAACTTTGACCCCTATTTGTGACATTGACCTTAGCCGCAGGGACCTAAATTTTGCGGGCGACACTCCGCCTCACAATAATGAACATTTGTGCCAAGGTATACTGAAATCCCTTTATGCATGTAGAAGTTTTGCTCTGGACATGGGTTTTTCAATGACCTCCAAGTGTGACCTTGACCTTTGACTTAGAGACCTTGTTCATGCACCAGACACAGCTTCTCATAGTGGTGAACATTTGTTTGAAGTTTCATTACAATCTCTCTGTATGTGTAGGAGATATGCTCTGGACAAAATCTCTATATTTTATCATCTTTAGTGACCTTCACATTCATCTTTTGTGACCTTGACCTTGCATATGTTAATCAAAATTACATGTTTCACACCAGTACTCATGATAATGACCATTTGTGTTTCAATCCCTCAAAAAATGATGACTAAATGGTCCCAATACACAGTTTCATATTTTTATCGGAACTTTGACCCCTATGTGTGACCTTGACCTTGGCCGCAGGGACATAAATTTTGCACAGGACATTCCGCCTCACAATAGTGAAAATATGTGCCAAAGTTATATTGAAATCCCTCTATGCATGTAGAAGTTTTGCTCCGGACAAGCATTTTTCAATGATCTCTAAGTGTGACAAATATTGGACGCCGCCATCCCTGCCCGCCAGGGGGATACTATAATACGACCCTTTTTCAAATAAAAAGAACTGAATTTTACCCAATTATAAAGTTTTGAAATTTTACATTTTGACCATAAAAATGTGTCTACAAAGTGGGGCATTATAAGAGAAAAAATCATGTAGACAACTCAATTTACCAGACATAGTGTTTCACAATATTTTGAAGTCGTGAATTAAAAATTAATCTTTAAATAATCAGCATGGGAACTACAACTGTTGAATGGCAAGATTAAGATATTGGAAAACCCACTAAAATAAGACATGGTATTCTTGTTACAAAGAGGCCTATATATGAGGTGTAATGGAAATTCACATTATTAACTCTATTATTGTATTAATTCGTCATAAATCAGTAAACGTAATTTTAATATTTATTTGTAATTCTGTTCTTTGTCAAACAGCTTCATTTTGGTCATCATGAAGCCAGTCAATAAAATCTAGACAATATATTTATTTACATTTTCATGTCGAGTTTTCTCCCATGGTTTGCAAATTCGGGTATGACCCATTTTACTTTGCATTTCCTTATAAAATAAAACAATGAAATGCTGTCTGGATTAAATTTAAATATGACTTTTTATCATTAAAATATGTTATGATTGTCTGCTGAGATAATGCAGCCGGTCATATTTAAGTAAAACCTGTCTAAAATAACCCAATTAGGGTCTCAATATTCTGGCATACGTAATAAAATAAAGAACTTGATCAACAACAGGCTTCGGGAAACTGCTGAAAAATTTGCCTGACATTAGGTCAGACAAACTTTCAATTTTTGTCTGACCGAAAGAAATTTTGTCTGACCGATTTTTTTTTCCAAATATATGTATATGGTAATACCTTTGTGTTTTTTTTAAAGACATAACAACTTTTAAAGATTTGCAACACAATTTTTATTCCCTTAAAATAAAACATTAGTTTATCCAGATTGATGGGACTCTGTCTGGGAAATCAAACATTTCATGATCAAAGCGGCCATTTTTCCATTTACCCACAAATTCTCGGCGGGCGCCTGGACTCGTATTCCTTTTGTTTCGCTTTTTTTTCTTCATTGGTTAGTTTACGATTTTTGCCGGGCGTAGCCCAGCCTAATAATGTAGTAACACCGACATTTTGGTTATTGACAGTCGTATGTATCTAGAATTTGATTGGACACTTATAATGAAACGGCGAATCAAAACTCGGTTTACATTTTTTTATTCAAGGAGGAAAACTCGGTCTATGATCGGTCTTGATATATCCCGCATACAATCGGTATTCGTACCGGACATAAGGTCCGGAACTCCAAAAAAATATTCGGACCGGCCTGATTTTTGCCGCGACATGTCCGACGGTCCTCGGCAAACGTTTTCGCGAAGTCCTGCAAACAATATTTACAGGAGAGGGGTCTTGTTGTTATTTAATTCGAAATTGAAAGTGTGCATGCAATTCAGACAGGCTGACTTTTGAATAGAAACAAAAATAAAGATACTATTTGGCAGGAAAAGATTTTGTCCAGTAAACCGATTGTCCGGTAAATATGAAGGATCCCAGTATACACCAAGTTTGCTTACAATATAGCTTAACGTCTTCAGCATACCCGTTTATATACTACGACATGTCGTGTTTAATGCCGAAAAATATTAAAAAGTGGCTTATAAAGTTTTGGAAGCCAGAAGTTATCTTTCCAAACTTTAGTTATCGTCCGGAAACCATGAAGTGGACCATCTGACAAGCTGAGTCCTATATACCCCCACTACATTACGTTTGTGTGGATATAATTCTGCTAACGTGTTTGAAGCATAATTTAAAGAATATATGTCGAATATATGTCAAAACATTCTCCTCGCGAAAACTTATTACAATTAGCAATTAAACGTTAATTATCGAATGTCAACACTGACTCACATTTTGAAATTATAAATGATTGTTTTCATCAATGTCCTAGAAGGATAAAGCAACTATTCAATTAAATTATTGTGTCTTTAACAGAAAATCAGTGAAACCCCTCACAGTGATTACCTCCCTTGGCACAGATGTCACATGAATGATGAAAGTCACATGACGTAACGTCGAAGTACTTTTGTGTTTTTTTTAAAGCTGCACGCCTCCAGATAAGCAAAAATATTTCGATAAAATCAAACCTGAGAATAAGGTAATTAGATTTTCGGAAGAGTATATTTAAAGATTCAAAATTCTAGTATTAATTTACGCGTAATTTGCGATTAATTACCAATTTTTCAGTATTTATAACTATATTTCTACTGCGTTACTAACGCAGTAAGGGCTATTTTTGCATATTTTGACTTCTTTATGGTAGTTAACATGGGTTGTAAGTGCCATTGATAATGTCTAAATTGCATTATTTTAGTAACTTCACAATATTGTACTGTTAGATACTTTTTCATTTTTTTTATGAAAATTAGCATGAATCTGCAGGCGTGCTGCTTTAACGCACATTGACATATTGATAACGACGTAACAACCAAAAACGGGACGCGTGTTCTGACTTCTCATGGCCGTTTTACTAGGGCTTGGCCACTTACATTTCTGTAAACGGGACCCTTCAAGCTGGTCGTACAAAATCGAATCCGTAAGGAAATCGGACGAGCGGTGTCGAAGCAGTGGACTCCGGCGCCTTGTGTTTTTTTTACGCTCGTTTACATTAAGGGTGTGTAACCACATTTAACGGGCGGCACGTGCGGACTTCTCACGGTCGTTTTACTTGGGATACGGCTTAGACACTTTAATTTCTGTAAAGGGTAAAGGGGATCCTTCATTCAAGCTTGTACAAAATCGAATTCCCAACGGAATCGGACGTAAGGTGTCGAAGCACTAGCTGTGGACGTTTTGTGTTTTTTTAACGCACATTGACGTATTGATAAGGACATAAAAATGAAAAACGGGCCGCGCGTGCTGACATCTCACGGCCGTTTCACTGCAGCTAGGGCTTGGCCACTTACATTTCTGTAAAGGGGACCCTTCAAGCTGGTACAAAATCGAATCCGCAACGGAATCGGACGTAAGGTGTCGAAGCACAAGCTGTGGACGTTTTGTATTTTTTTTTTAAAGCACATTGACATATTGATAAGGACGTAACAACGAAAAACGGGCCGCGCGTGCGGACTTCTCACGGCCGTTTTGTCTTGGGCTAGGGCTTGGACACTTACACGTCCGTAAAGGGGACCCTTCAAGCTTGTACAAAATCGAATCCGCAACGGAATCGGACGAGCAGTGTCGAAGCACTAGCTGTGGAGGCTTTGTGTTTTTTTAACGCACATTGACATATTGATAAGGACGTAACAACGAAAAACGGGCCGCGCGTGCTGACTTCTCACGGCCGTTTTACTTGGGCTAGGGCTTGGCCACTTACATTTCTGTAAAGAGGACCCTTCAAGATCGTACAAAATTGAATCTGTAGTGAAATCGGACGAGCGGTGTCGAAGCAGTGGACTCCGGCGCCTTGTGTTTTTACGCACGTTTACATTAAGTGTGTGTAACCACATTTAATGGACCCGCCACGGGGAGTTCTCACTGTCGATTTATTTTGGCTAGGGCTTGGATAGTTAAGGGAACCCTACACACATATACAAAATCGAATATGCAACGGTATTGGACTGATGGTGTCGAAGCAGTGGAGTCAGGCACCTGGTGTTTTCTACGCACATTAACATAGTGAAATCGGATGAGCGGTGCCGAAGCAGTGGAATCAGGCGCCTTAATTGTGTTTTTTATGCAAACAACTGCTACTGGCCTTCAATGTATGAGAATATTAGATAGTATGTCAAGACTTGTGAAGAATGTCAACAGTCCAAGAGAGCTTTCCACTCTAAACCTCCTCCATTACAGCCACAGCCTGTTGACGTTTTCAGTAGATGACAGATGGACATTCTGAGTGGACGTCCTACCACAAAAGGCAAATATAAACATATATTGCTAGTTGTCGACAGCTTTTCTAAATGGGCAGAATGCTTCCCTCTACAAATGCAAACATGTAGAGAAGTTGCAAGTGTACTGTTTTGGGTAATCTTGTCAAGATATGGTGCATCAAGAGTACTACTCAGCGATCGAGGAAAAATATTCATGTCAAACCTTGTAATAGCTAATTAACATCAAGCAAACCTTTACAAGTCCTTATCATCCAATGACAAATGAGTTGGTTGTGTCAAAGAACTCATACATTCTACAAATATGATAAACAAGATCAACAAGGAAAGGCGGCGTTCAATGAACGCAACAAGATTATTGTAAGGATCAACAAGATGATTGGACAGACCTTTTACCTGGTATAATGATGACCTACAGATCTACGCCAGCAACACAGTCAACAGACTTTAGCTCATTCTTTCTCCTATACGGTAGGGAAATGCGGTTACCGATTGGCACAGTGCTGCAGCCTAAAGATCATTTGCCACAGAGTTACAAGGTACATCTGGGCAAAATACTTCAAAATTTGGAAATCTGTAGGAAAAAAGCAAATAAAAATATTTAGCGAGCGCAAGAAAAACACAAGTATCAACATGATAAATATAGCAAAGCTCCCGAATATTAACCTGCTGAAAGAGTTTGGTTGTATTGTACAAAAGTTCCACCTGGGACAGCACCAAAAGCTGCATAGAAAATGGGTTGGACCATACTACATTACTATTGTTGGACCAAACTACATCTACAGGTTACAACATGCGAAGACCAACAAAGAAGTTAAATCATTGATGAATGCCATGAGACTTAAACCATACTTTGACCCTAATGACAGACTAACCAATCCACCAACAGAACTCGAGAATCGAGAAGATTAGCTAGATCCAGAGGAGATCCATGATATGAACCAGTCTATAAGGGTAAATAGTCAAAATCATACAGATGAAAGTAATAATGAAAATAACAAGAATAATGTAAGAAATGGACAGAAAGACAAGCAAACACCAGATGTAAAGAAGAAATAAGGAATCATGAGAAAATACTAATAACAGCAATAGAGTTAAAAACCAAAAAAGCAAAGACCGTACGACAGCCAGATGTAAACAAACATGTTCAGAATAAAGGAAGGGAAAATAATGTACCACAGAAAAGTAATGTAGAAAAGCAAACAAGAAAAAAATAAAATCAGCAGAGGCAAGAAGCCAAAAAGGATACAAGAAGGGAAGATAATGAAAAACAAAAGTCAAATACAGAAAGTCATAACATGCATAGGAATAAGGAAGAAACACAAAAGAAACAAATAAATTATAATAGAAACAAATGTCAAACGCAAAGTAGAAAACCAGAAAGAAATGATAAGTCAAAACATAAACTGTATCAGTAAAGTCGGAACCATGTAAAATAAACCAAAATCAGAACAGACATAATGCGCAAAAACACAATTCACATGATGTTTTGTTTTGTTTTGTTCAAAAAGGCAATAAAACACCTGAAATTCAAACCATATCTACAGCATATTAATTAGCAAGAAAGTTTATAATTGAATTAGAAGAGTGGACATAAGGAAACATCAGAAATCAAATTAGAACATATACAAAGAAAATACAATGGTACCTTACACGAATTACACAAACACTATTACTTGTATTGTGGAATAAACAACATAAATGAAATATTAATTAACCAAAATGATGAAATACAGTGCTTAGTAACTTTTAGAAATACAAACATAGGACCAGAATGGCAAAATCTTGATCAAGTCCCTCCAGGATGTTATTACCTGTTGCTAGGAGAATGAAAGATGAATTATGAAAAATAATTTATGTAAGCATAAACATATCAGCTAACAACTACATGTACAAAAAATTTAAGGAATACTAAATTGTTGGGAATTATGTGAAATTAAGGGGATTCATTGTAAGGTGGACTGATTTTAGATATCTAAAAGGTATTTTATTTACCTATTCTTAGGTGTTTTATAGTGCTAAGATTAATATGCTTGCAAACATATTTAATCTACCCAACCTTTATTTTATCTGACATTAGCTACAACAGTATTTGACAAACAAATGGCATGTATGCATTCAGTCTTATGGAGATATTTTGTTTTATTTTGCGAAATATTCCACCTATGTTGATATGTTTGAGACTATTTTTACTGAACTTTAAATGTAACCATTCTTAAGTTAAAGCATTTGTGAGTTATACCGTGGCCGGGCATTAACCATTAAATTGCTGCTTGAAAAGTGCAACATTAAAGAATGGATAACAGTTTACTGTCAGGCATACTGTATAAATTATTTTTGTTCTTAATGAATTTTAATTTTCGTTACTATACTGAATTATATATAAAATTGGTCACATGTAAAACGGTGTATGTTAGTCATGTACTAATAAAATTTGCACTCTACAGAAACTAACAATGACAGCAGTCATCATATATTGTGTTATTGTGAACAATTGACATTGAATAAAGTCGAAATTATTTAAAACTGGTGTGACACAAACATTAGTGTATAAACTGAAGAAATTTAATCATCAAATTGAATTTTGTATTTCTATATGTTCATATAAATATATGTAAATAATTGCTAAATGTGCATTAAGAAATTTATTGTCATGTTTTGTAAATATTATGTATATATTGTTAAATTGCTTTATGTTCGGGGACGAACTTTATAAAGGAGTGGGTAACTGCCACCAAGGGCATATTTGACCTCAGTTTTTTATGTAAATAAAATAATAAAAATTAATAAAATCATAAAATGACAAAAATAAATGGTAAATAATAATCACATTTGTATGGATGAATGTGAGTGTGTATGTAATCTATTTTAACGTTTTTATAATAAATGCTTTATTTTCAGATTTTATGTAATGTTTTGAAATCATACTCATATTGTTAATTACCTAATTGTTAAGGTGTGAAAAGCCATAAGGCATATTTTAGTAAAGTTTATTCAAGTAATTGAAAATCAAAGACACTATTGTAAGGACACATATGCCAGTATTTTTGACACTTGAGAACTATTATTTCATTTGTAGAAATCTTTACTGATTCTTATCAACACGTACTGTTTGGTCTATGTTTTATTTCTTTATTATACTTTATAGCTTTCAGCAATTTATGCTATAAGGAAATTACGTAACATAGAGGATATGTTTTATAACTTTTTCAGAAGATCAATTTTATCCAGATTAAGCATTATATAATTATTTTTTTTATTTTTCATTGGTTAATGTTTTACAATTTTCATTGGTTAATCAATTAATACTTTAAATTAATAATACTTGAGAATATTATTTATGGGGAGACTAAAATATGTTAAGACAGATTTATCTAGAACAAAATAGGAATTATTAAGAATAAGAAATATTTAGAATTAGAATTAATGTAAAAGTGTATTGAAAGAATCTTGGAAACATTTTGATAAGAAACACTGTGGATTTAATATATTTTAATAAAATAATTCTATTAGAAACTTTGTATAAGGAACTTGAAAGGAATATTATATTATGTATATAATAGTCTTTGCCATAAGTTTTTTGTTTGTTTGTAAATGGCCAAAGGCAAATGTATTGATGAGTGTCAATAAATAAATGAATGAATGCATGAATAAAATTGTTCATTCTTATATTACACACATGTTATAATAAAATGTGAAAAAAATGTGTATATTATATATATTTTAATTCATCAAATTTTCGCCAATAATTGGTAAGTGTGGGGTTTTGTCCACTCTATAAAACAGAAGTGATGGGGTTTTGTCCACTCTGTAAAATTTAGTGGTGGGGTTTTGTCCACTCAATAAAATTAAGTGGTGGGGTTTTGTCCACTCTATGAAATTAAAGGTGGTGGGGTTTTAACTGGTGGGGTTTTGTCCTACATTCTACAAAAACACTTGTCAAAAATGGTAATCTTCAGCTTTAAAATGACCTTAATTTCGGCGAACAGTTATCACAAGTTATAATAAGAACTCCATCCCCCCTCGTGTAACAGTTCCTCCCCCGTTTGTATTGTAAAATAGTTTATATTTGTATGACGATGTATAAATTGTGTAAGTCAAAAATAAAGTATTCCTAACGTTTTGAGTACGTTTTATTACCTCCCTTAGATATATATTTTTTCCATTGAATTAGCTCTGGCACTTTATGCTTAAATAAATTATTATAAAGTGATTGTGAATTATATTTGTATAAGAATTATATTTGTATAAAAAGTACATTTCAGATAAGTTAAAGCATATTTGTGCCCTTTTAAAACTTATCTTATTGTTGAAAATATTTATTTATATAAACAAATTAACAAATTTGAAAATTTCATGCCTTAAACTAATGAGTAAGGAAAATAATGGGCCTGTAGAAGTACAGGCCTCAGAGTTGTATCTCTGACGAATTTCTGACAAGGCACAGGTTGCCCCCGAGTGACCCACCTACATTCGTGGGATGCTTGTGGCGAAGCGATCTTGCCTGCCTTCAATAGCCTTTTTCATTCCGCCAGAATTTCGGTTTGCAATATATCACAATATTATATCGCAATGCCTTTTCAGATGTAACAATATATTGAAGGTATAAAGTTTTAATAATAATAATAAAATAAAATATGAAATTGTAAATATTTTTTCAAACATCTCTGAGTCTGAGAAGAGAATGATAAGTTGAATATTGTTTAATGTTACATATAGTTTTGTTAAAATCCCTAATCGAATTTTCGGAGTGTGTCATGAATAAAATGTCTGTTTTAATAGGCATTCCCAGTTATGCTACCTTTTCTGTTATTTCACATACACTCAGAGGCAGTTAATACTTATAACCCGACACAATTTTCGTTATAATCAATTACTGCAAATGTCGTTACAAGATGAACAGTTTCTGAATCCGAATTAATCTGTATGTTTACCAGTTCTAATACTTTGTAAGTCCTCCCATGTCTATAACAACGAGTTAACACCTTTGTCTCATATTTCTCAATTTTTGAACAAGGGTTTGCTCGATTTCCATCAAAGTGCGAGGGGTTTCTGGTCGATTTCTCACACGCCTGTTCAACTCATCCCACAAATGTTCGGTGATATTTAGATCTGGTGAGTTGGGAGACAGAAGGAGTTGCTGGAACTCGAGAAAGCCCTAATTAGGGAATGGAGAAATATTCCCCAAACATTCATGAGAAACTACGTCATTTCCACGAGACAGAGGTGTTTACACGTTGTTATAGCCATAGGAGGCCGCACAGATTAATTCGGATTCAGAAACTGTTCATTTTTTACGATTTTTACAGCAAATCAGTGATTTTTCATTTTACAGTAGCCTTTTTACCCCCTCTATTTTCTCGTCAATGAACTGTTAATAAATTCTAAGTTATAAGTATGATATATTAAATTTTATATGGTCCAAATTTGATCAAAATCCGTCCACAAATACGAAAAATTTAAGTGCCTCTGAGTGTATGAATCGGAGTATAGGTAGTGCAACATTCACGGCAATCCGGGGAACAGCAGCCAAGTTTAGTATAGCACCTCAAACTCCCCCTTTAAAGTTTAAAATTACGATTTTTTACGTGTACGTAACGTTTTCCAGGAACTCCGTGATAGTAATCATAAGAACTCCTGACAAGTTATCATAAGAAATACCGAGGCGCGGCTATCCGGCCGCTTACACATCTTCTCCCCTAAATAGTGAGTGACATAATCCTCTGTTATATATAAATTCGTCCTCGAACTTCACAGAGTTACAGAGCAATGTGAATTAAACTTTGAGCATATTCAGTCAAGGCCCCACGTTGGGCGCCAAATGTCACAGGGTGAGAAAAATGTGCAGCCTGACCGGGACTCGAACCTAGGACCCTCGGAATACCGTACCGCGGCTCTACCGATTGAGCTTTAGGCCGCTTACACATTTTCTCCCCTAAATAGTGAACAGTTCTGAACCGTGCCATAATCATGTTTTTACCAACCCTATAGTTTAGTTCGCCCGAAACATATACTTTTCTTAATTTACTACATGTGTTTATATCATTTTCAATTTTTCTAAAAATAAGCGAATAGCAGAATTTTCTAGCGCTATATAGGTTACTTCAAGATATATGTTTTTTTCTTTAAGAAAATAAGTTTTATCCAGTTTTTGAACAACATTAACCCCCTTACAGCAATAATATAAGTCCCCCGCCTCCTATGCTGAAAGCGTCTGTATGAATGGATCTGATTACTATATCCGTTATGGTCAATTTTCGACTTTTTGTTAGTCCAGGTTTCCGATAAGCATATTATATCAAAATCTTTCAATATAGCTAAAAATTCGGACGAATATCTATTTGCCACGCTAAACCCTTCAACAATCCTTGACACTCTCACGTTTTCGCATTATCAAGGTTAACAGGCGTTATAGGTACAAACTGACAAATTCTATCAAAGAATTGTCCCCAAAAAGGGTCATAACTTAGTCAAAATTAATGTCTAATTTATGGTCCTTGGAAGGTGACTTGCTTAAGACATGTATCAAGTTTTAAATGAATATCTTCATTATTTTCAAAGATCTAACTTTAAACAAGAATTTTTTCTAAGTTTTAATATACATAATATACATGTAATCTGATTGGTCAAAGTATCTCGTGCGCACGACTTAATTATCTCGTGACCACGACTTAGTAACTCGTGACCACGACATAGTATCTCGTGCGCACGACTTAATTATCTCGTGGCCACGACTTAGTAACTCGTGACCACGACATAGTATCTCGTGCGCACGACTTAATTATCTCGTGGCCACGACTTAGTAACTCGTGACAACGACATAGTATCTCGTGCGCACGAGATAAATAAAAACACCCACACACATATCACCTCTGTGCCAACCTATTATTACGACCGATAATAATTCATTTATACACATACACAAAATTACTTCACAGTCTCACTATCGAGTAATTAACTCAAAATTTAAAGTAGTATTATATTTTTTTCTTTATATACAAATAACAAATGTTTAAAATATATATTGAATATCTTATCTAATCTAGCAAAATATAAAGGAATCATTAAATTTTAGAAATACTATTGTTAATTCTATCAGTTAAATTTGATTCTGTCTTAAAGAATAGATATATTCCTGGTAACATTTTTATGTAATATGTAGATTCTTTTCTGATGATATATCTGTTATGTAACCATATATAGTAAATTACGTTTTAATTTTTGTTCATTTGAAATAACTTTCTAGAATAATTACTTAAGACTTGTAACGTGACATTGTCTATAATTCATTGAAAACTAGTATTGAAAATGTATTTTTTCTGCATTCTGATCAAAGTATTATCACATTATGTATGACAATGTATGTACAAGCCAAAAAAATAAAAATATGTTCTGTTCTGTTTTGTTCTGTTGTTGGTGTATAAACATGGTCAATCACGTGAATAATCAAGTCAGACTAATTGTCTATATCACACGTGCATTCAGTGACTGTTATTACAGTGGTTTCATCTTCACGTTCATCGGAACTCCTCGGTAATTATTCTTATGAACTGGAACTATTTCTTCGCTGTGCAAAGTAGTGCAAAGGTATTCGAAATGTGTTGTTCTTCGACGACTGAGCGTGAATATATCACACAGCCTGAAAGTATAAGAAAAGAAGAAAAGGGTTAACATTCCATGTTTCTGTCGTTTAAAACAAAGATATGATAATATTTTCTAACTGTAACTTGCTGCATTTGGTCAAAATTGATTTGATAACCAAGTTGCGGGTTCGACGCCCGGTCCAGTAATATTAAAACGACAGCAACCGCTGATTTGCATGGTGCTCAGACATCGGTATAGAAATGGCCTCGAGTTATATGTGAATACAACCATTTATGTACGGTCATATAATCTCTTGAAATTTTTGTAACTAGTAATATAAAAGTCAGACTGTGTCCCTTAAAATGGCTGCAGAAATGGTCAGTATAAGCACGAATTATTAGACAGAATCTCGAGGTGGCGTCCTCTTGAGCATTTGTTTTTTTCATAATTCGAAATAAGAATAAGTGTATCAGTTTTGATGAAGGAAATTAGTTTGATCTTCCGGATGAAACTTAAAATAGCTATAAACATATTCCTTAAGGGGATTATACACAGATGTTACCAAAGCAGTTCTTATCTATATTGATTAGCTTGCTTTCTTCAGTTTTTATTATATACATTTATATGTGTATGCCATTAAATTGTATGTAGTGTTTCAGTTTTTAAAATATATATTTATGTCTTTTTCATTAAATTGCATGTAGTGTTTCAGTTTTTAAAATTTATATTTATATGTGTTTTTCATTAAATTATATGTAGTGTTTCAGTTTCAAAAATTTTGTATGTAGTGTTTCAGTTTTTAATATATATCAATGTGTAATTCATTAAATTGTATGTTGTGTTTCACTTTTCAAAATATTTATTTATATAAGTTTTTTCATTAAATTGTATGTAGTGTGTCAGTTTTTAAAAATATATTTATATGTGTATTTCATAAAATTGTATGCAGTATTTCAGTTTTTAAAACATATTTTTATATGTGTATTTCATTAAATTGTATGTAGTATTTCAGTTTAGAAAATATTTATATGTGTATTTAAACAAATGTATGTAGTTTTCTTTTTTTTAATTATATGTGTTTTTCATTAAAGTGTATATGTAGTGTATATAATGTGAATGTAATATTTTACTGTGGCTGTCTCCTATCCAATATAAAGTGGTTATTAACAATTTCAACATGATTTTAGTGTTTGAAATTATTTTTTGTCCAATAGGACTGCAGTATTTCATATGAATCCTTACACATTTACTTTAGAAAAGCTTCAGTGAATCGACTGCATATTAAGATAATTTCAAACACTAAATTGAACAGTTAGTGTTCATTACTTTAGATTCTAATGAACACAGGTCTTTATAATTATACTGAATACAAATACTGTATGTTTTATGTATATTGATCATTATGCCCATCCAAGGTATATAGTGAGTGAAGGGGTGAATATCAAAATAAGTTTTCATTTTGCCATATTTCCTTTTGATTTAATAGTTTACTTCAATAAACATAAAAAAAATGCACAGATCCAAATAAAATTTCTGTAAATATCTATTAGAATTTACCTATAACGCTCAGTTTATACAAAAGAGTGGGGCAGTCTTTTTTATATTTTAGGCAGATCTGAACGTTTTCCAATATCAACTGTTGGTCAAACACCATTTTGACAGTCAATCTTTTGAGATATAAAGTCAATTAAGTTCAACTTGGCTAAGAAAATATGAGCATAATGTCACTTTAAATAAAGCAACATGCCTCCTAATTCAAGCTATTTTTATGAAATATTTAGAAATGAATCAAACAGTAAAATATTATCAAGTGAACAAAGGAAATAATTTATACATTGCAAACGACACTCAACATCTATGAAATCTATCAAAAAATGTTAACATGTGAAACAAATGCCCTTACTGCGTTAGTAACGAAGTAAAATACTGCAAACTCAATTATTCATGCACATATGTAGTTTTCTATATACTCCATTGAAATATCACTCATGTCTATCAAAAAGTGAAAAATTAGGCATTTTGTAGCAATTAAAACTTAATGGCTGTAGATTTGACCTCTCTGTAGTATACACCATTTTAAAGTTAAATCTTTTATGTATTGCTGCATGTTAAAATATTGGCAACTTTCTATGACTTTTACTTAAAAAACGTAACAGAACATACTCACTGAGCGAGCTTTTCATCACATGTATAGTTACGTAAAAATATGTTAATAAGTAGTTCTCTTCAAAAATTGATGTATCATTTATTTATAGGGGTTTCTCTCTGATTCATGCATACAACATGAATAACAATTTTTGAATTGTGAATAGTTTCACTTGTTTTAAAATTTTCTCAAGGTATATTTTCTTAACATATTTTGTCTGCATAAATACACTTAATCTGCATAATATTGTTTAGTTAACGGCAAATTATTTCTTTAGTCAGTTAAATAATTTAGCTACGTGTATATTAATGTTCATAAGATTTATAAACCGCCGTATAGTTTTCTAGAGCTTGTGTATATTTGTAAGTGAATTTACTAAACCAGTCTACTGTACATGTATATGTATACGAACTCCGTTTGTACCGACTAATTTGACATCGTTACAGTAAGGCTAAAACGAATATAATTTGACTTGTGTAAGAAAAAAATGACTTGTCACAAAAGTATCAAACGTAAACAAGTGCATGGTATTCAATACAAACTATCAATTCACTGTATGACTTTACGCAAAATGGTCATAAAGCAAAAGATGATGCAGATAGCAAATGAGTTTCAATACTGTCACAACATGGAAATAAAAAAGGTATCAGCATTCGTGGGTCTTTAAATTAACAAAAAATATTTACAAAACTCTGAAAGTTTTCTTTATTCTGTACGATTCTCATTTCCGTAGCATTTCAAAGGGCGCATACAATATGGTCGGTGTGACGCATTGGAAAATATTCAAAATACACCTTTTATGAGCATCCGGCCAATCCCCTGTTTATGAAGTCAAATGGGTTTTCCCTAATCATGATAACAGAAAGAAAGAAGAAAGAAAATTCTTTATTTCTTTACTTATTTATTTATCTTTTTATTTATAAGAAAGAAAGAAAGAAAGAACCAAACAAATAAACAAAGAAAGAAAATAACAAAGAAAGAAAGAAATTAGTAGTAAAAAAATACAAGAGTAAATCATTATTTATTTTATAATTAACAAGAGTAATTCATTTATTCATTCATTCATTCTTTATTTATTTGTTCATCTATTCATTCCTTTTCCATTCATTTATTTATTTACTAGAAAGAAAGAAACAAACAAACAAAGAAATTAGTAGAAAAAAAATACAAGTGTAAATCATTATTTATTTTATAATTAACAAGAATGACTCATTCATTCATTCATTCATTCATTCATTCATTCATTCATTCATTCTCTATTCATCTATTCATTCTTTATTTCTTTATTTATTTACTTATTTATTTATTAGAAAGAAAGAAACAAACAAATATACAAAGAAAGAAAGAAAGAAATTAGTAGTAAAAAATGCAAGAGTAAATCATTATTTATTTTATAATTAACAAAGAGTCATTCATTCATTCATTCATTCATTCATTCATTCATTCATTCATTCATTCATTCTTTCTTTCTTTCCTTCTTTCTTTCTTTCTTTCTTTCTTTCTTTCTTTCTTTCTTTCATTCATTTATTCATTCATTCTTTATTTATTTATTTATTTATTTATTTATTTATTTATTTATATGTTCATCTATTCATTCTTTATTCATTTATTTATTTATTTACTAGAAAGAAAGAAACAAACAAACAAACAAACAAAGAAACAAACAAAGATAGAAAAAAAGAAATTAGTAGTAAAAAAATACAAGAGTAAATTATTATTTATTTTATAATTTACAAGATTCATTCATTCATTCACTCGTTCGTTCGTTCGTTCGTTCGTTCGTTCGTTCGTTCATTCATTCATTCATTCATTCTTTATTTATTCATTTATTTCATTTTTATGACACTTGTTATATCAATTTTTAACATATTTAGACAAAAATAAGCAAACTGGTCGAGCATTTCAAATAATAATATTAAAAAAAAAAACATTTAGTAAAAACAATATAAAATATCATTATATTATTATCATTATTATTATCATCATCATTATTATTATTATTATTATTATTATTATATACCAAACTTCTAAAGCGCTTTTTAATGCACATTAACACGTTCAAAAGTACTGTACAGTATGACCAAATAAATGATACAATATTAAAAAAAAACAAATTAAAACATCAGTATTGCTCAAGTCACAAATTAAATTCAAATGTAGTTTAAAACGATAAAAAGACCCACATAGAAATAAAATACAGATAAGACTTAAGAATTGTTAAAGCGAAACTAAAATATAATCAGTCCAAATAAACCTCTTAAATAAGTGGGTTTTTAAGTGCTCTCTTAAACACTGGTAGAGTTTCACAGCTTTTAAGTTTTCTAGGTAGGGCATTCCACAGTCAGTCCTTACTACGCGGTACAACAAGTGCAGAGCAATCATTCTGGGACCTCAGTTGTCTGGATGGGATATAAATGTCTAGCATGTTTCGTATGTAAGTAGGTGCCTGTCCATGAAGCGCCTTAAACACATATGTAAGGAGTGTGCACTCGACTCTGATGTGCACAGGAAGCCAATGAAGTTCCTTTAAAACTATTATGATAGAGATGCCAGGTTAAGGCTTAAAATAATTGTGTCGTTAAAATAACATGCTCTACAAGAATAAGTATGGTAGGTAGGATTCTTATATTCAATTATACCGTATTCTGAAACAAGTGAAACCAGAAAATATTTCCCCCAAGAATTGAAGAACCGGAACGTACGTCGTACAATATGTCCTCTTTCAGAATAGACCACGGGCCCTGGTCAGATCGTGACAAATGTCCACGGATGGCACAAAAACATCATAACTTAATAATTAATACACCCACCAGTACAACATCATTTGTAACTCTTCAAATGTGTAAAAAAAAATTGACAGACCTAAAATGTATGTTTTGGTAGGGTAGGGTGATCCTTACTTTATGCCT